AAATAAAAGCCCTGGGGTCAAAATTGGCGCCGCCCGAGGGGGTCATTGATTTTCCCTTTATGCATATAGTAAAAACTTAAAAAATCCTCTTTTAAAGAACTCAAAGAGCTAGAGCTAAGATATTTAGCATCAAACATGTTCTAATAGGTGTCTACCAAGTTTGTTCAAATAAAAGCCCTGGGGTCAAAATTGGCCCCGCCCCGGGGGTCATTGATTTTCCTTATATGTGTATAGCAAAAACTTAAAAAATCTTCTTTTAAAAAACCCAAACAGCTACAGCTAAGATATTTAGTATGAAACATGTTCTAATGATTGTCTACCAAGTTTGTTCAAATAAAAGCCCTGGGGTCAAAATTGGCCCCGCCCCAGGGGGTCATTGATTTTCCCTTTATGCATATAGTAAAAACTTAAAAAATCTTCTTTTAAAGAACTCAAAGAGCTTGAGCTAAGATATTTAGCATCAAACATGTTCTAATAGGTGTCTACCAAGTTTGTTCAAATAAAAGCCCTGGGGTCAAAATTGGCCCCGCCCCGGGGGTCATTGATTTTCCTTATATGTGTATAGCAAAAACTTAAAAAAATCTTCTTTGAAAAAACCCAAATAGCTAGAGTTAAGATATTAAGCATGAAACATCTTCTAGTGAGTGTCTACAAAGTTTGTTCAAATAAAAGACCTGGGGTCAAAATTGGCCCCGCCCCAGGGGGTCATTGATTTTCCTTATATGTGTATAGGAAAAAACTTAAAAATCTTCTTTGAAATAACCCAAATACCTAGAGTTTAGATATTAAGCATGAAACATCTTCTAGTAAGTGTCTACAAAGTTTGTTCAAATAAAAGCCCTGGGGTCAAAACTGGCCCTGCCCCAGGGGTGTCATTGTTTTTAACTATATGTGTATAGTAAAAACTTAAAAAAATCTTCTTTTAAAAAGCCCTATGAGCTAGAGCTTAGATAATTAGCATGAAACATCTTCTGATGGGTGTCTACCAAGTTTGTTCAAATAAAAGCCTTGGGGTCAAAATTGGCCCCGCCCCAGGGGGTCATTGATTTTCCCTATATGCACATAGTAAAAACTTAAAAAATCTTCTTTTAAAGAACTTAAAGAGCTAGAGCTAAGATATTTAGCATCAAACATGTTCTAATAGGTGTCTACCAAGTTTGTTCAAATAAAAGCCCTGGGGTCAAAATTGGCCCCGCCCCAGGGGGTCATTGTTTTTTCTTATATGTGTATAGCAGAAACTTAAAAAATCTTCTTTGAAAAAACCCAAATAGCTAGAGTTTAGATATTAAGCATGAAACATCTTCTAGTGAGTGTCTACAAAGTTTGTTCAAATAAAAGCCCTGGGGTCAAAATTGGCCCCGCTCCGGGGGTCATTGATTTTCCTTATATTTGTATAGCAAAAACTTAAAATCTTCTTTGAATAAACCCAAATAGCTAGAGTTTAGATATTAAGCATGACACATCTTCTAGTAAGTGTCAACAAAGTTTGTTCAAATAAAAGTCCTGGGGTCAAAACTGGCCCCACCCCAGGGGTGTCATTGTTTTTAACTATATGTGTAAAAAATCTTCTTTTAAAAAGCCCAATGAGCTAGAGCTTAGATGTTTAGCATGAAACATCTTCTTATGGGTGTGTGGGGGGGGGGGCTATATACCTATATACAGGTGAGCGACCTCAGGGCCATCATGGCCCTCTTGTTTCAACATATTTAAAGTGAGTTGGACTATAATGGAAGGTCTGAAATATAGTAAATAATTATGTTGATTGTATTTATTATCAGATATAACAACAAACCAAGAATTTTTTTGTAACATGAATGTAATGTTGGCAAGTACGAGATAGTAATTTAATATTTTACAATGATTGGATATTAATTGTAATTGTATTCATATAGCAGATAATGAATTGTTTTAGAACACAATATTATATTTTTCATCGTATTTAAATGTTCATACTGACTCATTTATAGACCTTTATCAACATTTTTTTTCTTGAGCAATATTTTATTAGAATATCTATATGATACATTTATAAGAATATCCATATGATACATATGAAAAATGTGCCCATTGTAGACCAATCCACTTTAAATGAAATTTATTAATTTATTTTCGAAAGGATGTCCATTTTTTATACGCCCGTTTGAAAAACGGGACGTATTATGGGAACGCCCCTGGCGGGGCGGGCGGTCGGGCGGGCGGGCGGGCGGCGTCCAATTTTGTCCGGAGCATATGTCCTACATGTATGGAGGGATTTTAATGAAACTTCATAGAAATGTTCACCACTATGAGGAGCAGTGTCGGCACACATGAACCAGGTCTCTAGGTCAAAGGTCAAGGTCACACTTAGAGGTCATTGAAAAATGCTTGTCCGGAGCAAAACTTCCACATGTATAGAGGGATTTCAATATTACTTGGCACAAATGTTCACCATTGTGAGGGGGAGTGTCGCGTGCAAGATTCAGGTCCTTGCGGCCAAAGTCAAGGTCACACATAGAGGTCAAAGTTCAGATAAAAATATGAAGATGTGTATATGGACCATTTAGTCATCATTTATTGAGGGATTGTAACACAAATGGTCATTATCAAGACTATGGCTGTGATACATATAATTTAGGTCAATATATACAAGGTCAAGGTCACTAAAGATGATGAAATATCCAGATTTTGTAAATAGAATTTAATCAAAGGGCAACAACAAAGTTATTACTTTGTTCATAAATGACTTACACAATTACTCCCCTTGATCTACTTTCACTTTCAATTCTAAAAATAGAATTTAATCAAAGGGCATAAAATAATCCTCTTTCTTGGACTTGAGTATGTTCTAAAGAATGTAACATTTATTTACACATGTTTCATTCATTGGTCAAGATTCTTAACTGTGATAACTATGGTGTTCTGTAGACTTGGTATTTGTTCATAAAGATCATACAGTAATTACCTTATCAAATGTGAATTCTTTCTCATAGAAATTTAATTATATTTTAATTTTCAAGTAAATATCAGTTCAGCTCATTCAAAGATTAAGAATTGTAATGAAATGTATTTCCCTAGAATAAAATCTTAAATCAGAATTTTTTAGTTATTAAATTACAATTACATGTACTTTTTATCTTCCCTACTGATTTGTTTTAAGGTTCATTTAACAACACAGTGCGGCTGTGCCAAGGATAAAAACTTGCTTGCTAGATAACACTTATCCATAATGCCCCCATCTCCATCTAAAGCTTTCGTAAACGGGCGTATTTTGTGACTATGGCACCCTTGTTTTTTTTAATTATTGTTTATTCAAATGTTATGACTTAAGATAATTGAGGTAAATTATGTTGTTTGGCAATGATTTCCTTTGGTAAGTCAGATTGAAATATATTGCGATTTCATTAAGTATAGACAGCATCATTGGAGAGTGGGGATCTTAAAAAAAAATGAAATTACATCCTATAGGCTGATTACAAGTTGTAAATATTGATTAAATTTCCCAGACTTGTATTAAATTCTACCTTTCTCAATGACTTTAATCAAAAACAATGTTGAAATTCCAACAAAACAATGTTGAATTCCAATTTTTATAATAAATAGGAAACTAAAACTACTTTGGAAGAAAATAAAGGTTATTTGATCTGTATTATTTCATGTAATAAATTGCTGTTATTTTAGACTTTAAAGATGAGATAACGGTTGATTAATGTTAATGTTTACATAATAACCCTATATTGAATTTCCTGAATGGTATTTTAGAAATTTCATATCAATTTTAAAATCTTAAATACAAAACTAAAATTTGAAAGTTGGTGAGTCAACAGTACAAAGAGCCTTAAGAGCTCATATGTGTGTATTGCAATGTCGGTTTCCATTTCAAAATTTGAAAGAAAATAGTCTTAAAGCAAGGCTGTCAGTGCTAGTTGGTGCTTCCCCTCCCCCTACATGCCCCCTTAAAAAAATCAAAAAAATTCCCATAGCCATTTGTATGTGAAAGTACTAATTAGTATACAGGAAGCTGTGTCTCTTAAAACTTCCCTTGTTTTTGTCATGATAACATTAAGACAGACTGTTTTCCATTAAGACCAATTTGACATGAAGATTTGTGTCAACCTGTTAGCACATTAAGAAACAACTGTGGTTGATCTTAGATTGTAGAGGTACAAACTCATTGTGGTAATTGTAAGTTGAAGGATTAATGTGAATAGAGTGTATACCCTTCTTTTTGGTAGTGGAAACTGTTTGTTTGATATATTCTTAGTCTAAAAAATAAGGTTTGTTTATACAGTAACACTTGTGTTGAAAGGACCATGCAGTTCTGGGAAAATTGACAGGAAGACATAATACTAAAGTACATGTATTTAGAAAACTGTCATATCAGTAATTTTCATTATAATGAGATAATTCAGTTTGCTCAAATTCTCCATTTTATTTTCCAAATTCTTTTGAACATTTTACTTGGTTTTAGAGATAACTTGTTGGTAAACCACCTATAAAGTGTCACAGAGTCTGGTTGTAATAGACAGTTAAGGGGAAAATAAAATGGAGAACTTAAGGAACATACACATTTATGTCAGTTTAAAGTTGCGTACTTGTGTTCGACAAAAGATGAAAGTATCCATGCAACCAGTGCAGACCAGGATCAGCCGGCACATGCCAGCAGTGCCACATCTGATCTTGGTCTGCACAGTGAAATTTTCACTAAAAATAATGAATGTTTTTTTTTGGATTGATTAAGATGGACAAGCCCATTTAAGACACTTATGAACTGAAAGTTAACAGACCTAGGTTTGCCATCATTCAGCCAGACCAGCTGGGTTTTTGTGCAGCCTAGTCTAAAGTCTATGTACTTTTTGCCACTCAATTTTATCACTTTGATACTGAAATGCCTGAAACAACTTAAAAATGGATTGTTCCAAAACAGCCAGGGCGATGTGCACTTTAAAAAGGTTTAACAGGATATTGGGTTTATGGATGTTGTATGATTATTATAATAATTATTACTGTTATATATATTACAGGATATAAACACACATTAAGATGGCGCTGCATCTGGGTGCCCAGTATATTTTGGAGCATAATGTCGGCATCAGTGATGCTGTGTTACTGGACCCTCTAACAGAGGAGGCATTCATCGAGAACCTTAAAAAGCGTTTCTCCCATGAGCAGATATATGTATGTATACACTATTGAATTTTAACATTAATTATTATTCTTTTATTATACCCAAACCAAAATCGCAAGCTAACATTGCAAGCTTGTCACAAGCTTGCTGCAAGCTTAAGTTGCAAGCTTGCTACTGGCTAGTAATTGGAACCTTGCGGCAAGCTTGCGATCAGTTATTTAAAAAAAATCTGACTGCAAACTAGTTAATATTTAAGCTTGCGCAAGCTTAATCGCAAGCTTGCGCAAGCTAAATCGCAAGCTTGCGCAAGCTTAATCGCAAGCTTAATCGTAAGCTTGCGCAAGCTTATTTGCAAGCTTGCGCAGGTTTATCTGCAAGCCTGCACAGGCTAAGTCGCAAGCTTGTGCATGTATAACTTCAAGCTTAATGTATAAGCTTGCGCAAGCTTAATGTATAAGCTTGCGCAAGCTTAATCGCAGGCTTGCAAAAACTGTAAACCCTATTTGGAAAGGGAGCTGCTACGTATAACAGTCTCTGAATCCTATATAACATGGAAAAAAAAAAGGCATTAATTACCATGATAAACTTATTTAATCATAAATTGTAAAAAGAAGCTGATGTTAATTTTTTCATATACTAATGGTTTCTTCCAATTACCATGGTAAAATACCGTAAATAGTCCAGCCTTCATGGGATGACATTGAAAAAATCCAGCCTAATTCCAGCATCCCTGAATGTTCTTAAAATGTAAAATTCTGGGATGGAATTCAGCACAGGAATGTTTGGGGTAGAATTTTTATGAGTTTAACATGATCACATATTTCTTTCACAAAATTTAATACATATCCTTTAGTCCAAATACAGAATAGAACAGCCTACATTCACTATAACACAAACAGTTTTTTTTCTAGCTGCAGGTTTTGGTAGGTTCTTGTTTTCTTAGAATCCAACACTTTGTTTTAAGCAATTATTTTGCTCTTAGTCTGTCAGTGACAAACTATTCAATCTTAAATATGTTTCTGATTATTTAAATTACTATTTCTTTTATCGGTGTCAATTTTTAGTCCTCTGCCAGTGTTTCCTAGAACTTCTTATGGTTGTGCTGACCTTTAAAGATAAAATTCATAATTAATTAAATACAGATGCAGTAATGAACTATGTTTTATTGCATAAATGCAGTTATATTACATATCTTTTAATAACATCAAATCTAATGTTTCAACAGTATTAACTATTAAATATTAACTATGCTTATGCATTTTCAAAAAATACTAAAGCAATGCAGTATATCTTATTTCAATGTGCACAAATGTTTAAGAATTTCTCTGTATGAGAATAAGTAAATTTGTGACAATATTTATTACCCAGTATGTATTTTTTCAAGAAAAGATGTGGAATAGAAAAGTATTGAGATTTAATAATATACCTTTTCAGGATTAATACTGCACATCATTATTAAACACTGCCGCTATTTCTCACAGTCAGCACTTATGTCCCAGCCTGCAAATTATTTATGTATAAAGTAATTTTAGATTGTTCCCATTGAAAACACAACACATACATGTAAAATAACAAATGATTATGATTGACCCTGTTCAGCTGTACAACTTAACTACTGATTGTTACCATTTAGTCCTATTTAATCAAATTGATTTAATTTGTTTAATTTGCAGGAAATGAAAAAGATCTACTAACATGCCATTTAAACAATATAAACAATCATTAAAAAGAAATCATTGAATAATTTATATTTTACAGATTATACATGTATAGATTAAAAAGAATTATCAGAAAAACAAATGCATGAAGTTGAAAATATAAAAACAACCTTGATCTCTTGTTACAAATGTTAATAATTCGATATATAACCTGTTTCTGCATTAATGTAACTTAAGGTTTATAAATACCTGATTCTGTTGTATATCTCCTTGTCCCAGGTGATTCTGATTGTAATCATACCAATACTTAAACACTTTAAATGTTAAAAACAATATCTCCAAAACTGCTAAAATATCAAGTACATCCTCTGCTCTCTTTGCTGACCCAGATATCTTAGAATTCAAATTTTACAACAGTTACTGTAAAACTGGACAGGTCTATCATTATGTAAAGCAGGGTTAATCTACTCATCATTTTAACTTTCATTCTTTGAGCAGTAAAAGAAAATATCAAATAGCTAATAGATATATAGATTTTAAAAATCATTAACAAATTTTTTGTACAAAAAGATTGCAATGTCCTTCTAGACACATTCTGCATATGAAATTTATAATGTTATCTCTCCCCAAAATAATCAAATGGAACAGCCTGATCTGTCGGAATGACCAGGGAGTAAATTAGTCATGCACAGATGGTCAATGAATTTTATCAAGGCTCTGATGTGTGTGGCGTAAAATCTCAGTGGATGTAGTATTTATTTTCCTAAATAAAAGCAATATATATTGATTAATTTAATATAGAATATATATGAGATTATTTCATGCACTGTTTTTGTTTTGTTTATTTATTTATTTATTGTTATCCAAAAACATGAATTCTTAGAATTTAAAAATGGCAAGCAATGCAATCCCATCTTGATTATTATAGTGTCTGAATGATTGAATCACAGACTTTAATTAATTTATAGTTAAACTTAAAGCCTGTAATTAAATGGATATTATTTCATTGTACATAACTTCATGTAGATTTATTGAAATAATAATATGTATTTAACAATCAATTCATTTACTTCTTTTGCATAGACATTTTTTCTGAGATACCCTTTTCCAACTACATGAAATGTATAAAGTGTCAAATTTCAAATCATTTACAGTAGCTTGCATTAAAATAGATGATGATTTTATATTTTCTTCGTAAATTTACAATACTGAGCTGAATATATAAAATAACTAATAATAAACTTTAGCGTGGTAATCTAGTTTAAACTAGTTAATTATCACTGATACTATCATTTTTGGAATTTTTATTTTAATGTGTACACTTTTGACAAAAAATTTCTAAGTGTTTCAATTACTTTAACAAGAAATTTCTAAGTGTAGATTTGTACAAAAATTTTCTAAGTGTCTACTAATTGCAAGCTTGCGGCATTGCAAGCTTACATCAAATGTTTGCAAGCTTGCATGAATTTTAAACAAGCTTGCAATATATTTCAAAAGTCATCGCAAGCTTGCGCAAGCTTGTTGCAAGCATGCAGCAACCATGTATTTAAGCTGTAAGCTTGCGGCAAGCTTGTGACAAGCTTGCGGCAAGCTTGTCGCAGGCATGCATTTTGGTTTGGGTAGTCTTTTATGTCACATCGTCACAATATGAGAGCACAAAATTTTAATTACTTTTGAGCTGTAACTTGAGTTTAGTTTAAGACCTACTGAAACACATTTAGTACACTGAATAAGTCACAATATATTTGGGGTTACTGCTAAAATGAAAGGTCTTTATTGAGACTCTTCAGCTTAAGTTACGATAGAAGCCGCCTTTCCAGTGGGAAGCCTTTGGAAGGTAGTGGTTCTACTTTGAAGCCTGTATTTGAGGGCTAACCAGAAAAGCTCTTAAGTTGCCATGTGTTTGTCTATCCCATAAATAACAAAATAAACTCAGAGGAAGACCAATGCAATATTCTGTGTAATTTTTTGCACAGGTATTAGTTATATTTCTGGGTATACACCCATCAACAGTTGGCAAACCAGCATTCACAGACTCTTTAACATAATAGAATATAAATTATTCAGTTATGCTGTTTTTGTACCAATAGAAATAAAAGTTATAAATCAACAGTTAAACAGATTCATTGAAAGTCACCCTTTATATATGGAGAAATAAGCAAATGATTACATATGAATTAATAAAGATGGCGTGACTGATTTTACACACATCATTGTTATTAGTGGGAAGTAATTAATGAATTGAAGCTTGGTGATTTGATGTTAGGTGATAGACTATTGATTTTGCTGTTGTTAATGTTATGTTGAGATATTAATATGTAACCTGCTGAATTTCCTAAATGAACTTGTCCACCTTCCATTGGTGGACCTGTTCAATTGTAAATATTTGGGTATATCAAGATGAAAGTTTAAAGTTTCGTCTGCCAACTGTACAGAGCCTAGTCAGATTGCACCTTATGTGCAGGCTGGCCTGGCTCTAATACTGGTCAGGCAAGGACTAATCACTTTTGTTCCCTGCAGGTTAAAGGTTATTTATGAAGTCTGTAAGTTATGTGTATAGAAGTAATGTAATGCTTATTTAAAGGCCAATTAAGTTCAAAATGATATACATGTAATTCTTATTTTCTCAAAATCTTTATAAAGTTTTGGTATACAGTTAAGTCTCCAAAGTGGTACATATCGGTCATATAGCTAAATCATCTTTTATTTTTTGGCCAATTGAGGAAAGTTTTAGTTATTTTGTTTGGTTAACTTCAAGACGATATACCACATTGTGTACAATTTTCCTGCTTTTATGACAAATCATTTCATATTCAATGGTGCTTCATGTCAGGTGATTATTATCTAACATGCTCTCAATCTATAATTAAAACATCATAAAACACGGGATTGCCTTTTAATCAAAGGAAAAATGGTATTGAATACATTGCCGAGGCTAAATGTTTGAAGCAATGCTACTGGCGTTTGCCACTGGTTTATAGAACTAGTTCAGAGACTGAACCTCTGGCTGATATATTATGGTATTAGCATCTGTTATAGACTGTTGATAATTCATATTAGGACAAATTCATCTCTTTTGGTAGAGGAAAATGTTAATAGATTTCTTGGTTTTTCTCAAAACATATAAAGAAAGAATTGTATACTTATTTATTTATATGCTACTGTTTGTTTAGCACCATTCAATTGTAACCCTTGCCTGCAATACCCAAGGGAGTGAATGATAATTGACCTACTTTTACATTTTGTCTGTCCCCACACTGCTTGGTCATTGTCTCCCCCACTGCTGGGTCATTGTTGCTGTTGTTTTTTTGTGTTTTTTTTTTTTTTGTAAATAGGAAGTCCTTATTATTACCCAGGGGTTTAGTAGATTGATCAAAATTGATTGGTGAATAATAACTGGTAATTTGTTTTTGTAGACTTACATCGGCACAGTGGTGGTGTCTGTCAATCCGTACCAGAAGTTGCCTCTATACACTGCCGAAGTTATAGAAGAGTATAGAAGTAGAAACATTTACGAGCTGCCGCCACATATGTAAGTTGGAATTACCTTATACATGTAGTTATTAAATAACACTTCCCCCCCACACCCCTATAAATCACAAGGCCACTAAAAAAGCTCAAGCAAAGGCTAACATGTCGGAAGTTTTAAGTATAGCTTTTTCTAGTGTTGTGGTGAAAAAAAAAATGATATAAGGTTCCGCAACAGTTTAATACTTCATGATTGAATTGAGGCTTTAGAGTGGACAGCAGGAGAAGCACTGTTCAATATGTTTCCAAAGTTAATACAAGAAAAGCATTGATGCAAAGCATCAAAGGGCGACGCCAAAAGAATTTGATCCAGATTTGCACCTAAATACTTAACAAAAGATGTGTACTTTATAGCAGTACCATTACATGTGACCTGGAGGCTAGGGCCAGTTTAAGTTGAAACTTAAACCAAAAAAGAATAGACTCTGTCTTGCCAAGATGCAAAGACAATTTATAGTCAATTAAGCAATCTTATAAGACTCATGCTATGAGAAAGAATTTCTTCAGATTTATTTTACGAGACACAAGGATTCCTTAGTCATCAGCATATAATCACAGGCACGAGTATCGGACCTGGGAAGAAAAAATATGACCAGATGACCAGATTGATAAAAAAAACTGTGTTTATAAAAACCAGAAAAAAAATGTAAATAATGATCCCCTTTACAAATATACTATCAACTTGAAGTATATTTTTAAAGGGGGTCATTATTTACATTTTATTTTGGTTGTTGACAAGATGAACACAGGTTTTTTTATCAATCTGGCCATATTTTTTCTTCCCAGGTCTTAGATACTCGTGCCTGTGCATTATAATAAAAGCTTATTGCTTAGGGTTGAAGACATGTCATTGACATATATTAGACATAAAAGAGGACCTTAAATGAACATCAGGGGACACCATAGGTACTCAGAGCAGTAGTAGAATGAGTACCAGTCACATCCACCAGCTGCAGTCTATCAGAGATAAGACTTAAAACCATGTAAGAATGTCATTATATATGGCAGATGCTTGAAGTTTCATGAAGAAGAAGAAAAACAACGTCTTCATGTGCAGTATATAGTGTGTTTCAACTGTATCAAAATGCCTTTTGTAGATCTAAAAGTATCATGCAATACTGCCTTTGTCCATTTCAAATAATGCAACCTGTTTAAATGAATCAAACATGTGTCAATGAAAAACCACTTCTAAACCCTGACTGAAACTGCCTGACCATGACTCGAACCCATGACTTTCAGAAGACCAACTGAGCTATCCGGCCGGCTACACAGTTTCTCTTTAATAATGAAACAGTTCTAAACCACAACATATTTCCCCACTATATCGATTTGTGTCCGTGAATTTCTTATGTTACAGAGCATAGGAAATTGAACTCATGCTTATATGCAGTCACAGATTGAGAAAAACTTTGAGCTTGACCAGAACTCAAACCTGTGACCAACATAAGAAATTTTATGAAGGCTGATTTGTATTTTTGCATCAAGGGCACCGGGCAAAAACATGAAAATGCAACAAACAAACCACTTTTGTGGTAGATTGAATTTTCATGTTTTCATCTGGCGCCCCGGTTACTTTTTTGTACTATTGTTGGTTTTCATGTGGCACAAATTACCCACTATAAAATTTAGTGCACAAATTTATACAAGGGCAAGTAACAATCTACTCTATGTACAGTCTGTTGTCGGGTTTGACTCAGGAGACCTGGAGGTTGAGACCGGTGTCCCTTCATTACAAATAGATAAGACAGAAGCTGTCCTTTTCAAACTATGCACATGTTAGAAAAAAAAATAGAATAACTATTCAGAATATGATTTTTTGAGACTTTATTAATTATATTGCTTGATCCAAGTTTAAGGACATTTTCAATCAATACATGTTTTATCATTTATAACTTTAAATGAAAGTCTCATCCCTTTAATAATAATGACATAACTGTATCTCTTTAAATGCAGAAAAATTATAAGTCTCAACATATCAATATACTACAGTCTAAGATATACATGTATGCACATAAACATTAATAATTCCCAGTTTATATTAAATAAATATGAAATCCTACCATTAACATGCTTTTGATGACCTTACAACTGGTGAATTATATACAACAAAAATAGTATTATAAGTAATACCTAAGATAGACAGAAAACAACAAATAATTTAGTAAACATGAGTTACTTCCCCTTAAAGTTAAAAATAGAGAAAACCTGAAACCCAAAAGAACACCCTAAAAAAGCAAAATTATGAAATGCTGCATGCTCAGTTTTATTAAGCCATGCAAATTAATGGTAAAGTATTCATAAAAAATAGATGGCCATGTGACAGCAGTAATTGCAGAAAATCGGATAGCTTTCAACATCCGGGATACTGGTACACTTTGTAAAAACAACCATTCTGCGCAACAGATAAATGTAATAAGGATAAAATCAATAGGATAATCGTTTACAACAGTTCATTACCTATCCTTATACTCAATTGCAGGTGAATTTTCTTCTTGTAGGAAAATTTTGAAAATGTATAAATGAATGAATGAACTGATACGGCCTCAATCTAGACCACAACGATATTCGAAATCCGGGTTTTAGTATTGTCAATAAAACTAAGGGACAAGCTGTTAAACTTAACCTGCAATTTCGTGAAAATAATATCACAATGCACATGCTTTTTAGCTCGACTTTTCTATGAAAAGGGGAGCTATCCTACTCGCCCCGGCGTCGGCGTTGGCGTCACACCTTGGTTAAGTTTTTCGTACCACCCCACTTTATTTCAGAAGTATTACAAGTATGGCTTTGAAACTTACCATACTTGTTCACCATCATAACCTCCATCTACAGACAAGAGTACATAACTCTGTCAAGGTTTTTGACAGAATTATGGCCCTTTTTTGACTTAGAAAGTGTATTGAGCTTGGTTAAGTTTTTTGTACCACCTCACTTTATTTCAAAACCATTGGAGGTATTGCTTTGAAACTGACCATACTTGTTTACCATCACGACCTTCATCAACAGACAAGAGGACATAACTCTGTCAAGGTTTTGACAGAATTATGCCCCTTTTTGACTTAGAAAATACATTGAATATGGGTAAAATCCACTTATTGCCTTAACCCTTTTGAGATATTGCTTTGAAACTTTTAATGCTATTTCACATCATTACCCCCATCTGTACGCAAGAGAAGGTAACTCTGTCAAGGATTTGTTTTAAAAATTAAGGCCTTTTATCGACTTAGAATCTTGGTTAAGTTTTTAGTACCAGTCCACTTTTTGACTGAACTGTTTGAGATATTAATTTGAAAGTTGGAATACTTGTTTACAATCATGATTCCCAAACATGTCCAGGAGAAGGTAATTCTGTCAAAGATTTTATTTGAATTATGGCCCTTAACTGTCAATGTTTTGTATTATAGGCAAGCACTAAAAAAGTCGAGCGCGCTGTCTTACGGACAGCTCTTGTTACATAAAGTTATTAAATACAAATATAACAACACATTTGTTTACTTGATTTTTACGAATCAAAATAAAACTAATTAACACAACATGAAATTAACTGCTAATAATAACAGCTCCTTCCATAGGCAAAAATAAAAAGCATTACATAATAGACGACGCCGCTCACCGGCGTCGCCAATAAAAGTTGACAATAATATTTTCATAACTGGCTTTTGAGTCAGTAGATTTTTTAAATATTTTCCCAGAAAATAATGGATGGTTTTGTTGAGATTGAAAGATGGACAATTCCATTAATGATATTTAAAGTGTGGTAAGAGTTAATTATTGTCACTAAGAGAAATCTTTGGAAAGTTTTAGCATATTCATTGAACTTGATTGTTAAGACAACTTTTTGCTTAGAATCAGACCATTCATGAGTTTACTTCCTGGGACCTGTGTTGTGAGGCCAACACCTCAACAGCTAAGCCACCTGTGCCTAATACGTCACGCAGTTATGTTTTGGTTACTACCAGTATACCAGCATACATATATTGTAAAGCAGTCAATTGTTTCTGTTCTGAACTTTGATTTTGCTTATTTTAACCACCAGTTGCATTTATTTTCACATTCCTGACATTTAGAAAGGACAGCCAGATAAGTTATACAAAATCAGCTGACAAAGTGTTGGCTGCAATAATTTAAGGCCAGGCCTGGATTTTGACATACTGAATATTTACAATTGTGTCAACAAGTTCATTTGAAAGAATGTCTTTAAATCTTTTTTTTTGTGTTTCAAACTTAGTACAGTAGCACTGTAAGTTTTTTTGGGAGAATGTCTTATAAAACATGTAATTAAATTTTTGTGTAAACTTTGTACAGTAGCACTAAAAGTTATGATGAAAGTCTAAGATAGTTTCCACAAAATTCTTTGATCAGTGGTTGACAAGGTGCAATATCAACGTTTTGTAAATTTAATGTAGATATAGACAGGAAGTGATGTGATTCCTTATCTAAAACTTTGTACACAAGTATATCACCCCTTTAGGATTGGTATATATAGGTCTTATCATTAGTGAAAGTACTAAAATTGTCAGTTTGTTGGGCTTTCTCCATTTCGTTACATACCAATGCAGGAATGTTTGGGGACTTTAAAATGTTTGGGCCATTAAATTTGATATGAATGCAGTTTTAAATATGCATAGAAGTAGTGTGAAGTAATATAATTGCAGTTACATGATAAAATCTGTCCTCGAAGTTAGCTTTTATTTAATAATGTTGCATTTTAATACCTATGTCTTTCAAAGGCTGAACAAAGTAAAATGACAGATTTGGTTCTTAACCTTTAGAATGGAAAGGAAATATTTAAGGTTTCTGTTGTCAGGGTCATACAGGTTACATATAAAATATTTATTTTGAATTTAGGCCCCGTCATTTGTTTTAAGTTGCACTGACCGCTTAGCTCATTAGGGAGAGCATTAGATAGTAATTCAGTGGTTGCTAGTTTAATCCTTGGGTGAGGCATAACTTCTCTGTAACGTTTGATCTCAGACACTAAATGAGCCACGTCATGACAAAACC